TCGATGTCACCAAAGAAATGGTACAAGAAAATGTATGTGATGCAGAAAAACAACACTTGCGAGTTTCCCCGAAAAACAAATTATTAAAAAACGTGTTGTGTATGCACACGCATCGCCAATGGACACGCGTGAGGATGAACTTGTATTGGACGAAAAAACGGGTGAGCTACGACACAAAATACCACATGACTTCATAGTTGCAAATGACGATACAGATTCAGAAATCGATGAAGATCGTGCTGAAAATGACAATTTTTTAGAGCAACTTTACCCACCTGTACTCGATAGCGACATTGAAATTGAATCCGACAAAGAAATTGGTGCTAGATTCGATTATGTTGCCTCCAGCACTGGTGAATGGAGAATGGCCACGGAGGAAGACGGCGATATATTTACTATTCCAGTTTTTGAACATGAACCTGGACCAACTTTCGAACTGCCTTCATATGCTCGTGAGGTGGAATATTTCTACAAATTTATCCCACCAGAACTGATAGAACTGGCTTCCATCAAGACTAATAAATACGCCAAATATCATCAAAAATGCATTGCAAAAAAATTAAATGCCCGCTGGCATAATACAAATCTCAGTAAAATGCAAGCATTCTTTGGTGTGATGATATGTATGGGTGTTGATCACAAATCGGCAATCGACGATTATTGGTCGAGTGACCCCTTTCTGCATAATATGGGAATTGCATCAGTAATGACACGGGCCAGATTTCAAATGCTAATGCATTATTTTCATTTAGCTGATCCAGTAAATGACCCACGACAGGATCCTGACATTGAACGTCGTCGTCAACGATCAGAGGCCGACCCGTTGTATAAAATCAACCCGTGGATGAAACCCGTACTTGAAAATTGTCGGTGATACTACCAGATGGGACAGAAAATTTTGATTGATGAGGGTATGATTAGATTCAAGGGACGGTCCAAGTTTAAGCAGAGATTGCCCCACAAACCCGACCGTGATGGCTTCAAAATATGGCAGGTGTGCGACTCGACAACGTTTTACATTGCAAACTTTGAACCATATTTGGGGGTGAAATATAAAACTACAATTGAGGGGAGAAAGAAAGAAACTGGGACAATCAAGAAGACAACACACCGGTTGCTACAGCCCTTCACAGAAAAAAAACATTCTTTTCTGTGATTCGCTTTTTACGTCAGTTAACACAGCCCTTGAATTACAAGACAAGAAAGTGTACATGGTCGGTAGTTTTAGCAGACGAAATCGGAAAACCATGCCGCCGCAATTAATTCCTGAGGGGAAAAGCAAGAAGCTGAAATTGAAAATTGGTGAAATGAAAGCAGCAACTAGACCGGACGACACTATCAATATTACTGCATACCAGGATGAGAGCGCGCAAATATTGATTTTAAATGCAGTCTATCCCCCACTGGCTATGTCGGCAGAAGCAGTAGATGACGAGAGACACGTGCCTGTATCGTTACAATGTTACAGACATCACATGGGTGGCGTGGATCATTCTAACCAAAGGCGAAAATACTATCACATGGCAGTGTTCTCCCCAGGCCTTTCAAGCACTGCGGGCCCGCGTCGCTTAGACAAACAGCCGCGTCGCTTTTGTTTCGCCCGCGATCCATGAAATCCTGCCCGCGATGCTTATTCACGTTGTATTGTTTACAAGTGTCAGCCTCGTCTAGCACATCTTTAAAACAATAACATGTATTGATCGAAAGGTAATCCCGCCTTTGTACATAGTTAGCCTTACAAAAACAGTGATAAAAACGGAAGTCTACAAGAAGTTACCAAGTCTATCA